ACTCCTTTCTCCCTCTCCACCTTTTATCCAAGATTTCCCTCTCTCTCCACCTTTTATCCAGGATCTATCTATACTACTGATCACCATCTCTTTTCCTCAATACTCATATAATGTAATAAGGTTAACGTCTAAGATGGCGTTTTTTTACAGGTTTGAAACTCCTTTGTATTAGGCCACTTGGGGTTAACACCTAAGACGGGGTAGGTTTAGTTGAGGGCCTCATTAAGCCCTATAGTAGAGGGTTTTGTTCCTCATAGAAGTATGATCTCCTTTTTTCTAGCCTTATATAGTGTCTGATAGAAGGTGTCTGCCACCTATCCCTCTATCAACTTGGGTGGTTGTATTTATTTTATCGACCAAACTCAAAGTTCAAAAGATATTTTCTCAAACTTTGTGGTACACCTAAGCAATGGGATTTCACATTAGATGGTTATAAGTAATTGTGACCTCTTTATATGGTCATAAGTAATTGTAACCCCATTGTATCAAAGGTAAGTGGTCTCATTATATTCAATCCCTTTTATTAATATGAATCTCATTTTAAAAAAAGAAAAGCTTATATAGAGCTGAGGCTCTTAATCAAATTAGAGCCTACCTAAAATAATTCACTAGAAGAGGTTGTTTTGATGCCCAAATATCCTCAAATTAATCATCTCGACATCAAGTACATAGGCATGAGAAAAAAATGGATTTCAAGTTTTGGAAATAGGGTACTTTGTGACATATTTTTGACCGTTAATTTTCAAGATTTTAAAGTTTTCATAGATTTGTCGATCTACACTATTTTTGAAGCTTTAAACTTTATAAATAAAAATGGAAATATATTTTAAGGCTACCACAAAGATTCCCCATATTACAACTACATTTCTCAATATTATTTGAAGGTGCGGTCTGATTTAATTGTTTAGAGTCTAGGTTCTACACAATCCGCACCCTTTAAAAAACGAAGTTGGCATGAGGCTTAGGCTTTATGAAAGCCAAATAAAGCCTCACCTCAAATCTTATGGAAAGCACTTTCTACAGCGAAAATCTCTATGATGGCTCTAAAATTAATTTCCAACACTGATAATAAAATTTGAAACTAAAAAAATCACACATATCTTGCGAATCTTTGAACACTTATTTTATCTTGCGAATCTTTGAACACTTATTTTATCTTGCGAATCTTTGAACACTTATGTTAGGGTGAATACTTAGACAATTTGTTAAAATAAAAACTATTTTTAGGAGTTTGAATTTTTTTTTTTTTTTTTTTTCACAATTGTAATGTTCAAGTTGAGATGATGAGGTAAAGGCCTTCCAATGTATGAATTACAATTTTGGAAAATTATCACAAATATATTTTACTTTTTTGCCTAATTAAAGAAAAAAAAATTTAAACTTTTATAAAACTCGTACACCCATTTTATCCAGTATTTTTTAAAACCAAAATACCGGTAATTTCATTACCGTGCAGGCCCACCATCACCACAATTAAAGTGCCGTGCAGACTCCCCCGGCCATTACTTACTGTAACTTGTGAGGAGCGATGTGGCCAGTCTCTCTCTCTCTCTCTCTCTCTAGATAATCGCTGCACGCATTTGCTTCTTTCTCCAAAAATTCACCTTCACTTATTTTCTTCTTTTGCCGATGGTTCTATCATTTGTATTTTTTACACCTTTCCAAGAATTACTGGCGCTTTCTTTGTGTGATTTCAGGAAGTGAATTCCAGTGAAAAAGCCTTAGAAAATCACATTAGTTTCACTTAATGGATAGAGGGTTGTTCCTAAGCAAGGTCCCTTACAGTCCACCTTCTTGGGCTACCCATCTCGATCCCATCCCCTGTGACATTTACTCTTTAGGGCAAGTAAGTGTGGCCTAAGAGTGATCAGTTTGGTTTTTTCTCTCTCAACTCCCCTTCTCTCACCTAGTGGACTGAATTGATGCATTTTATTTGTGAGCTTTAATTTGCTGGTTTATTATTTTATTTTTATTTCATAAATAGATTTGCCAGTTAGAAGCATAAAAGGTTTTAATGCATGTGAAATTCTTAACCTGCCAAATTTGTGGATAGTTTGCTGATACTTGATGAATTACTCTGCGGCTTTTGCGATATTGCTCATTCTTGTTGGAAGTTTAGGTATTGATAGTTGAAATTTGCCATTGAGAACCACTTTTTAAGAGGCTAAGTTTTAGCAAATTGCATGACTTGTGATGTAGTTGATTGACAGTGGAAGGATTTGCAATTTTGTTTAATTTATGCGCTAATTTTTTTATCAAATGAGCTCCTTTTGGTTATCTTATTTGGATGCCTGATTCTAATACTAGAAATGGAAATCAATTTCTTGTTCTAGTAAAGCCAAATGCCAAAATATTCCAAGAAATGTTCTTATTTTTTATTTCATTTTGTGTTATCGAAACCTGTTTTTATTTCACCACTGAATTGAGGAGGTAATATAAATGGAGGTGCTGGTACTAGGTTTTGAATAATTACATGGACATAGTAATTTTATTTAGTGAGATCTTCTTGTGTTTATTTTGACGTGCTTCACAGATCTTCCTGTCTTTTTTTTTTAATACATGTATTGAATATTTAATGTCATTCTTTGAGGTCAAAAAAAATGAATGGCTGCTACATGGGCACCTCTTTGTTGCAATTCTTGGAATTACTTAAATGGCTCTCAAGCTTCATTTTCTGTGATCACCTGTCATGATTCTTTTCTTGGTGTACAACTATTCTACAACTTTAGAAATGCGCCTGTTGTTTTAATACCTGTAGTTTAGTGTTTCTCTAATTCGTTTTCTGTATTTTTAAATGGATAATTATTTGTACCTTTTTTCATTGATAAAGCGTAACATGCATAACTGTCTGGCCAAAGAAAAAAAGTTCAACATGTGTGATAGAAACAAGATATAACTTTGGGAATTTTTCTCATGGCTTCTTAGTTACTCTATATTATATGCAATTCTATCAAGTTTCAACATTTATTGCATATTTAAATGTATTTTTATTTTTAATCTTAGTGAAAGATTACTTAGCTAAACTTGTTTTGTGTCCTACTCTAAGCTTGATTCCTTGTTTGTGGTAGGTTCCTACCCCAATTCACAAATGGAATCTTCCTGGCTTGCCAAAAAATACGGAATTATGGATAAAGGTAATTTTCTCTTAGTATATGCCTTTGGATGGATAAATTTTTTTGGGTAATGGTAATTAGCCATTGCAAATCATTTAGTGTCCAAATTCTTGTTAAATGACGTTGTGCTTCCTATTTCCTGCTTTTTGTTGCTATCAAGCAAGCTTCTTACTGAGATGCATTCAACTTTGGAATATGAAATAATGCAGAGGGATGATCTCACTGGAATGCAATTAAGTGGTAATAAAGTCAGGAAGTTGGAATTTTTGATGGCTGATGCTGTGGCTAAGGGTGCTGATTGTGTTATCACCATTGGAGGCATACAAAGTAACCACTGTCGTGCAACAGCTGTAGCTGCAAAATATTTGAATCTTGACTGTTTCCTAATTTTGCGAACTTCAAAGGTTATTTTTCTACTCTTAAAAAATTTGGGTGATGTCTTCCTTTTGTCTACGTTTTAAGTATTTTGATACACTATATGTGTGAATGCATGTATTTATGTATGCATGCATTTCCCTCTCTCTCTCTCTCACACACATACACTCTCTCTCTCTAAATATTATGTGTGTGCATGCATGTGTGGGTGGATGTGTGAGTGTGTGGAGAGGAGTGTGTGTGTGTGCATGTGCGTGTGTGTGTTTGTGGATGTAAATGTCATGCCTTTGGAGTTCTCTCAAAGGTTTCTATGATACTGGGGATGACATTAACTCAATTATGGATGAACTAGATGCTTGATTTTTCTTTTTGGCAATTAACTAGTTGCTTGATTTGCCTGCATTTTAGGTACTTGTGGACAAAGATCCTGGTTTGACAGGCAATCTTCTTGTTGAACGGTTGATAGGAGCAAATGTGGAACTTGTTTCTAAGGAGGAGTATGCGAAAATTGGCAGTGTGGTTTGTTCTTTTCCTCTAAATGCGTGTTATAACTATTGATGTTTGGAATTTAGTGCAAGTGAATCATTATCCCTGCTTACCATGACAAAACCTCAATGCGTGGACGTTGTGATATGCAGTGATTAAGGACTCATTCGAGTCCTTTCGGACTTGAGTGAGTAACTCGGCCTTGCCCTAGTGGCGACTCACCTTACACCAAAAACTTGTAAAAATAAAAAATAAAAAATAAAAAATGTTAAAATATAAAAGAATTAGAAAACACCAATACATAAATTAGAAATATTATTTTAGATGAATCTGAAAGTTTTTGAAATGATTTCAGAACGTTCTTATTTTTGTGTTTTTTTTTATTTTCTGAAATATTCAAGGTATAAATCAAGTTTTTCAATAATCCATCTTTTATAAATTTTTCCCATCTTCTTTGGCCTTCTAATGTTATCTATTCACTCCCTAAACTTTTTTCTGATTTTTAACTATTTTTCATAAATTGTCTACCTCTTTTTTGACTTTTTGACTTTTTTTTGCGCTGTGCATTATGCGGACTCGGCCGAGTTACTCACCTCGGCCAAGGGCCGGGTGCCTTCGCCGAGGCAATCTTCAAAACATTTATGATATGTATGAAATAAAAATATGGCATTTCTGACATTTCCAACAATATGAACTACATTTTTCTCGCCATAGTTAGTGATGATAATGAATGTAATGCTAACTGATTCTAAAAGTGATGGATAAATATTGGGTAGTTCTTGCAAAGAAAGCTTGAATAACTTGTTATTGTTCTCTTCAAACTTGAACGTGGGTGTTCATATCAGAGAGTTACTGAACAAGAAAAGGTACGGATCCAGATCAGGTATTTGTTATATAGGGACCACGGGGATGTCTATATAGAAGAGTTAACATGCTAGAGACAAGTACCTATATACTTTTACAGTTTGTCATATAAGGAGAACTTTGTTTTTAGGATATAGCGAGGAAGAAAATATGAATGATGCATGGTATCCTGGATCCCCACCGCATCCATTGGTACACCAATATTTGCCAACTGATCTGCTATGAGTTTGCCTGGCTTGACCTATGGCCCTTAACTCCATGGACTATCATACAAAGTGTATACACACATCAGAAAACAAGTCCCTAACTTTTTGAAAGATTCCAGACAACCTACCAGTTAATGCTGCTCCACTTGATCCACATATGAAGCTTCCTGGAGTCTCCTCCAGTAATAATTGGTTTCCCATAGATATCCTTCATAAATTCAACTCTGGACCCAAGGTCCTGCAGAGCACTTAGTGTACTGTATTCATTGCAAATCATGGGTCCTATATGGATTTTGAGACTCTTATTTAGATTTAACATTTTAAAATATCCTATTGAAGGAGCTAGCCAGATTACATTTAGGCTCAACTTCGGTGAAATCCTTGAATGAATTATTCATGATTCTTGGAAGTCAATAGTCTTTAGCCCTTACATAAATGGTCTTATGTAACATCTGATTACGACATCTTCACATTCTTTCTACATCCTCCAAATGACTCCAAAGGAAAATGGCCTCCACATGGCTGAATCCCTTTGGTACTATTTCTTCCCTGTCCAAGCATGTAATCAAACCCAAAAATGAAGCAACCACAACCCCTGCAACATTAAACAAGCTTGACACAATCCCTAGGAAGCCCGACTAAACTTGCACTGAACCAGGAGGTGATCCACAAATTCTTCTCACCCATACAATGCGTTAAACATGTTGTTAACCAAGGAGTGTCTGTGTTGAAGATGATTTGTTGCACCTCATTTATTTTCATATGATTACCAAAGTAAACCTAACAAGGGGCTCACTGCCCCCATGCTAAACTACCCAGATTTTCTTTCCAATTAGAACCACATGAATAATGAAAGATATATAGACTTAGCAGAAAAGACCTGCCTGCAGGCATTATGTCCCTGAAGACCTTAACTATATTATCATATTGGCCTTGGTTCCCCAAATATATTTCTTAGACATGTTGTCATATTGGCCCCCACAGTTTATTTGTCCATATGAATGCAACTAGTAAACTTCTTTGTTACAATAGGAAATCTTACACGGAGTATACTGGTGACTAGCTAATTCTTTGACCTAAAAGCACTTGTCTTTTCTACCTGGAATGTAATATATCAAGTTAGATGGAGATCGAATGGTTAAGGAGCTGATTTATGATCTGTTCCCTTGTTAATTATGGTCTGCCGTTTCTTTGCTCATGCAGATGTGAATTACTGCTTATTATTTTATGGGTCCAGGCTCTTGGGAACTTGCTAAAAGAGAGGCTTATTAGCAAAGGAAGAAGGCCGTATGTTATTCCTGTTGGGGGTTCAAATTCTTTGGGAACATGGTATGTAAAGTTTTGAGAGTAATTGGCTAGCATGATGTTCCTAGTTGGCTGTTTGTTACATGTGTTTTGTAATCAAGGATTGCCCAAGTCAAGCTTTGGGCTGGCAGATTTTTCTTTAAAGGGAAATTATACTAGAACGGAGAATATCGTCCATTGGGTTGTCACTGGCCATTGAAATGATGGATGGTGATGGAGCGATACATGACTCCAATAGTAGGTCCCACTCATCCATCATTTCATTGGATAAAGGGGCACAATGGCGCTAGGGCTTTCCTCAGTCCGTTGGTATGTAATATGCTTTCCCATCTTTTATATGTGGCATATGGTGTTCTAAACTACTCTTGTTTGGGAGATTCTTTACTTCATAGACATAAGGTTTTGCAGCTATTTTGGTACTTGTTGAAAATGAAAATCTTTAATGCTCATAATAATCAGTTTATTCTTATGAAAAATGGCTGATATTGGATTTCGAGTTATTTATGGCTGTGCATACTGTCACTTACCTGTTCGGGTGTCTTCAACCATTCTTTTTCTGAAATGAACAAAACTGCTTGAACATCATTATTCAGTTATGATGGATGGGGTACTGAGCTTGGAAGTAACTGCTCATACCAGTCGTCTCCTTTCACATGAACTAAACTTAATTGGCTAACGATGTGTTTCAGGGGCTATATTGAAGCAATTAGGGAGATAGAGCAACAATCACAACAGATGGGCCTTTGCTTTGATGACATTGTTGTTGCCTGTGGAAGGTTTTCCCATTTTAAATTTTAAAATAGAGTTTCTTGTGAATTCATTTGAGTTCTTTATCGTAAGGACACATCATTTCTAACTGATGCTTAGTTGAGAATTAGTTGAGAAAGAATTGTCCTTAACTGCGCACTGCAATAATATTTTTTTGGATTTTGGAGGGCATATTTTAACATAATTATTATATCTCAAAAGAAAAAAAAGAATCGACCTTTTGTCGATAAAATCATATTTAAATTTATGTGGTTGAATTTTACAACTATTATTGAGGCTTGTTTCCCAAATGGCCAATAGGCTGAAACTAGGGCTGGCAATGGGCAGGGAAGCTGCATCCGGCCTGGCCCTAAAAACTAGGGCCTGGTCCACAAATTGTGGCCAAAGGCCGTGCCGGGTCAGGGCCACTACAGGGCTGACACTGTTCGGCCCCGCCCTTATTTTTTCTTTTATTTGTTTTGCCCAGCCCTACCCGGCCAGTCCTTGCATTGACAGGGCTAGGGCGAAGGCCTCTTTGGCCAGGCCTGAGCCAGCCCTATGGGGACAAGGGTCAGGGCCAGCCTAGGCCTGGCCCAGGCCAAGGCCTAACTGAAATGTACTAAATTGTTTAGTTCTCAATATATCTATTCTTTTGGCTAAAATCAAATATTATGTTTAGTATGAGCTACTTGGTTGCCTAACTTGATCCTTTGTTGCACATTTTTCGATTTGTAGTGGGGGAAGCATCGCTGGCCTGTCTCTAGGATCATGGTTAAGTACCCTAAAGGCAAAGGTCGCAATTGCCTCTATCCAATTGGTTCATATGTTTTATTTTCCCGTGAATTCCTGAGATTTTACCTAATCTGAATCCGCACTAATTTAAAATCTTCTATCATTTCAGGTTCATGCTTTTTCTGTTTGCGATGATCCCAATTACTTTTACGACTATACGCAAGGCCTAATTGATGGACTCCAATCTGGACTTTCTTCACGTGATGTGATTGACATCCAAGATGTAAGTGATATTATATGCCTTGATCTATTTTTTATTTTTTATTTTGTATTCATCTTTCGCAACTTCTTTGATATTGGGTAGTCTGGCATTTTACGCTTCTCTATTTATCTTATATTTTCAAGCATCTACCAAATCAAATCTACGTTAAAACATAAAAAAATGGTTGAATATAAATTACAGAAACAGGATTGCTTCGCTAGTTAATTCCTTACAGCAAGACCTGATTGGCTAAGCCTAGTTAGTTTTCAGCTTTGGTCTTATTTACAATTGAAGAAGAAGATACATCTCTCCAAATTAATGCCTGGGCATGGTGAACGTCTCTATGTGGATGATTGGGCATGGATCTTCTGATTAAATTTGTGTTAGGTTACGGATTCAATTCAATCTGCTCCAGCAGAACTGTGCTTTGTTTTTCCATGTTTGGGTTCTTTATTTATGAAAAAACATGCAAAGAAGGAAATGAGTACTGTACCTTATCAAACAATATAAGATATAGTCGATTAATTCTCTCTAGGGCTGATCCTTGGTATGAACAATGACAAATGAGGTGTGGTTAAAGGCTCGGCTACACTCCTCTTGAGTAATATTATAGTCCCTTGCATGTAGTATATCGAGGAATATTTGCTTAGACACATTCATACCTACCCTCAAACCCTCACATCAAGGCTGACAATTAACTATTGCTGGGGAGTGATATGCAGCAACGAATCTCAAATGGCAATTTTTAACCGATTCATGTTTTCAAGAGTTCTTATATTAAGATTTGCGATTTTGAAAGGGTTAGGAATTTGAGCAATTCCCAAGTTAGCACATAAGCAAAAGGAATAGAATTTTACTGGGGAATTCATATGATTTATGATGACCATGTATTCCAGTTTTTGCATGGTAAGTATGGATGCCCGAGCAAGGGCCAGTACCTTCCAAACCTGGTCACCATTGTGACAGTTATGTTGAGGCTTAACATACATATTGGACATTTTTGTTTGCAATTGATCCACTGGGGACCACTGTGTACTATGAATGCCAGTTAATTTTATTTGCTACTCATGTACAATTCCATATTCACAACTGATTAAAATTGTGTTTCTGCTGGTTCACTTGCAAGTTTTTCTAATGTCCACGTACATGATGTGGCATCCAATTCTTTCAGTGATAAAGCTGCAATTTATATTTTGGTTTAATTGAAATTTTGTTTTTGCATAATTTTCTTTGAAGTGCATATTGATTTAGCAATCAACGTGCAAAAATGAGCCCTGTTTATAAAGCAACTAATTGGACAGGTAAACTCAATGGGTAGGGGTTTATGCATTGAAATATTATGATCTAAATCATTTATATCGAAATCACTACTGCATGGAAATACTTTAAATAATGCGATGGAAACTAATGGATGTAATGTGTAAACAGGCAAAGGGACTTGGCTATGCCATGAACACTACCGAGGAGCTTCAGTTTATCAAAGAAATAGCTGAGGCAACGGGTGTTATACTCGACCCTGTCTATAGGTACAGTATAGTTCTTTTGTTCCAATATCTCACTGTAGCACACAAGAACTTTTTCTTTGCATATGTCGTGGATCATGTTATGGATTCTTGTTCTTGCCTTGCATTCTCACACGACACTTAGAGCTTCTTTTAGGAATAGCAAATCTGATGAAAGGCTGTGTAGCTATTATTCATTAGAAAAATGCTTTCTTATCTGAAAATGCATTCTTATATGCTGATCACTTCGGCATGAAAGAAATGTTAAAAAGTTCTCACATCTTGACAAAGCACATTCAAGAAAGGCCACTTAGTTGAAATTCCCTTGTTTAAACGACCCCAAATTGCAGTTTCCTTTCTTTCTTCTCGCTTCCTAGAAGTTTCCTTCTCTAAATGTGAATTGCTAAGCATGCATGTTGTGTGTGTGTTCTCAGGTGACTAATCCTAATGCTTTAGAGAGAGAGAGAGAGAGAGAGAGAGAGAGAGAGAGTACGTACTAACTATCGTACTACTCTACTATTTAGTTTACGTTAACGTAACGTAACGGTAAGGGTCGTACTTACTAACTTACCTTAACGTTCGGTTCGGTTCGTTTTAGTTACTTT